GGCAGCCAAGTGATTTGGGAGCAATCCTCACTGTTTCACCTGCCTTTGGGATCACCCACCAGAACCTCCTGAATTCTGCAGCTCCCTGCTCTCACTGATGCCCTAAAGGAAAGCAGCATGCCCGGGACTTCCTTGGAGCCTCAACTTGTCTGCTTGTGGGACAACAGTCCCAGCAAGCCGGCTGACACCCTGCAAGCCAGCGCCCAGTTCCCCGGGTGCCTCACCTGACCTCCCATAAGTTCCCTCTCCTGCCACCTTGCCCCTCAGGTAAGACTGCAGGGGATTGGGCCACAGGTCCTCACTGATGACCTGGAAGTGGGCAAAAGTTGAGAGGCCTCAGATCCCACTGCCAAGTGGCTGGGGAACCCACCAAGGGCATCCGGTGGGGGATAAGGGAAGGCAGGGTGCAAGTGCTGGTCAGGACCTGCCTGTGCAATCCAGACAGACCAGACAAAGCTGTGGACTGACAACCAGTTAAGAAGTGAAGGCCACCTTTCTGGTGCCTGCACTTGTGGGCCATATGCTTATAATGCTGCTTCCACAGAACTGGAGTGGAGCCAGATGCCCTGTATCCTGCAGCAAGAAGAGCACATCAGAAGGGACTGGACCACATCTCAGGGGCACAATGCAACCTCCTACCACCCACCCCGATAGTTGCCTCTTACTGGTGACACCGATCACATACTCCTTAACAATCTGTTCATTGCAGATGAAGGGGTTTTTGCAGAAGAACAGCACCATCTTGCAGCAATTGCCCAGGTGCCTGGATTCCTTCACCTGTTGGGACAAACTGTCGGGAGGGGTGAGAACTCCTCCTGCTCGTATGGCCCTCTCCTCTTTTTGGGGATGCAAGGCCTCCCATCCCCAACCTGCGTCTTGCCAGCTGCACCTCACATCCAAGTTGTTCATGAAGCTAAGTATGGTGTTGTCCCCGTGTCCCATCAGGGGTGACAAGTGGGGATGTTTCTGAATCTGCTGGAAGTCAAGGAGCCTTCCCATGATGGGCATGGCAGGGATAGAACAATGCAAGTCTGCAGAGAAGCCTGACCTCCCTCTGCTATGAGCCTGGTGCTGTTCTTGGGCACACACCACTTTAAGGAAACCCCGAGCACTAACTCAGGTCCAAGGTGTGTGCATGCTGGAGGTTGATGGTTGCGCTGGACGCAAACACCTTTCTGCTCTGGGTGTGCTGAGGTATAGGCAGGGGAGCCTTCTCGCTGCACAGCACACACTGCTGCCACTCCCACCAACCCTCCGAGCACTCCCGAGACCACTTGTGTGCAGCCAATGGTTGGGGAAACTGGGACACCACAGAACTGTTGTCTGAAGGGCCAGATGAGCAACTCCAGATGGCCGTGGGGACATTGCTTCTGGCCTGTACCCCACAAAAGTCTTCCAGGCTCTCTATCGGGTCACGCATGTGCCTATTATTTCAGGGTCAGATTTTCATGGTTTGGCCTCAACCAAAGGACATTTTGGTCACTGAGTGTGCCCTGCTTCAGCCTCCTCTGGCTGAGGAGGGCCAGCCACAATGTGCTTGGTCCCTCTGTAAGGATGGAGGCACCAGGGGAAGGGGTGAGCCTAATGGACAAGCTCAGGCCTCACGAGGAAAAGAGACCAACAGGTTCCGGTCTGACAACATTCCAGAGCCTGATTGGATAACAATTCCAAAAAGGGCCCTTCCCCCAATCTAAAGGATTAGTGGTAACTTTCCAGTGCCTGGCTAAAGGGCAATGAGAGACCCCCACATACCCTAGGCAAGCCAGTCCTCATGCCACTGTACACCTTTGCTCTCCCTCCCCCTGCCTTCTTTTAAAACTTACTGCCAGCCCTGCTGGGTGTGACTTCCCCAGCCTGTGTTTCAGACCAAGGAACGTCACCAGGGATTGTGTTCAAATAAACTGCCCGGCCCTTTGTTGCCTCCCTTTGCATGCTTATATCAGTTGAAATTTATTGGAATTTACCTTACACCCTCCACTACCGCATCGAGGATACGGCCTTAGCCCAGAAGGCAGGAATGCTCCAGATAATGGTGCTCCTCACTTCTAACTGGGACTTGCGCCTCTGACACATCTTGAGCCTGAGCCGATGGAAGGCCCTGGCGGCCTGCTCTTTCTGCACCTCCAGCTCTAACTGAAGGGTCCGCAGCGCGTCCAGTGGGGCCACGGCAGGCATCAGCACCAGGGCAGGCCCTGGCCCTTCATGCTTTGGCTCCTCCTCCGGCCTGTCCTCCTCCTGCTCCCCAGGCTGCCACTGCTGCCGCCCCTTCCCCGGCCCTTCCTCGAGCTGCCCCTCGTCCTGCTCTGTATCCTCCTCCATCTGCACATACGCCAAGTCTCCCTTGGCCTCGCCCTGCTGCCCATCCTAACCTGAACTCCTGGTCCCTGTCCTCCTCATTGTCCAAGGGCACCAGCTCCACGTCCAGATACACAGCCTCACCTTCCTGCTCCCTGTCGTCCACCGCGACCTCCAGCACAATTACGTCTCCCATCACCGCGTCTTCCTCCACAGCCACCACGTCGCCCACCACCGCCCCCACATTGCCCACCACCTCCACCACCGCCACCACATCCCCCACCACCATCACCACGTCCGCCACCACCACCACCCCGTCTTCCACCACCTCCATCACCGCCATTACGTCTCCCGCTTCTGCGTGTTCCCCCACCGACACTACGTCTCCCACCTCCTCCACCATATTCCCCACCACCGCCACCACATCTCCCGCTGCCGGAGCACTCAACGCCGCCTACCACGTTACCACGTCGATGGCCCCCCAGGACTGCTGAGGAGCCCCGCCACTCCCCGGCTCCCCCTCGGCCGACATGCGACCCTGGGCCTGAGCTGCCTGCAGGCAGCAGTCGCTGGCAGAACAGGAAGTGGGCCCAGCAGCTGCACTTGTGCAGACTGTTGGTCGCTTACCGCAGTCACACGCTTAGTCTGATGTCTTGTGCACGTGCGCGGGCTTTTATTCAACTGGTTAGGGACGGAAAGAACTGCGAGCCGCGTGCACGCCTATCGGGTCTCCAGCGCACCCAGTAAGCGAGAGGGCGGTGGGCGTCCCTCACCATAAGCCTCGTCCCCACCATGGGCGCTATGGGTATGCGTCTGGGCAGAACGAGAAGTAGCCCTGAGCCATGCCGGGCCCACCCCAACGACAATCCCAAGCAATTTCCCACACCCTTGCATGCAGAGCGGAGCTGGTGCATCACAGCTGTGTTCAGAACAGGGTCCTCGCCATGGAAATGACTGTGACATCTGGGCAGCGATGCTGAACTCCCTACCACGAGACCAAGAGCAGCTCCATCCCCAGGGTCCTGTGGTGAAGGGTGCTGTGCCTCTCCTCCCTGCCACCCTTTTCCGTTTCTTCTCTCCCCACCCCACCGGCCTTCTGTGCTTCACCCCATCTCCTGTCTTTCGGCTCACGTCCTTGCAGCTGCCAGGGAGGCTCCGAGTCACGGTCCTCCGACTGGGTGGTGCAGGCCACCACTGCCACAGCACCCACCCAGATGTTGGGAATGTCGGGAAACGCCACTTTCTGCTTCCTCAGCCCTACCTCTAGGTCTCTCTTTCCGTCTCTCTGCCAGTGAACCGGGCAACACTGAAGGTGGGGCAAGGCACATGAGACCTCGGCAACACACGCGTGTCCCGGTGGTCCTCACTTACGCGGCACTACCCGGGTCCTAGAATATTAATAGTCTTTTCACAAAGAACCTGGCCATCTTGAGAGTCTGATGATATATCAGAATGCTGAAAAGACAAGGCTGACAACTAAGAATACTGTATCTAGAAAAAAAATCCTGAAAATAAGTAATTACTATATATATTCCCACATAAACAATAAAAGTTGACAAAATTACTCACTCTAGAAAGGTTATGACAGGAATCCTTCAAACTGAAGTGAAAAGAGAATAAACAGCAAGGCAAACCACTTGAAAATACAAAGCTCCGAGGTAAAGTAAATATGCAACAAACATAGGAACTGTGCTACTCTAATATATGAGCAAACCATTCAGTCTAGTAAAGAATTTTTAAAAGCATAAACTACAAACTGGTAAAAATAATATCATCAATAATGTAGAGGTCAGAATGTGATGAAGACTTTTCATGTCATTTGAAATTGTTAGTATCAGTTGAAATAGATTATTATATCTCTCAGATATTTCCTCTGATTGTAATGGTAATCACAGGGAAATTTCTAAAGTATATAACAAAAAATGAGAAGGGAATCTATTCTTGCGGGTAGAAAAAATAAACAGTGAAATACAAGAGAATGAAGAAAGGCAGAGAAAGATTAAGAAAGCTACAAGACAGAAAGCAATAAAAAGCAATAATAATTCTTACATATCTGTTAATTAAATATGTATCTGGAGTAAATGAACTAATTGAAAGACACACTAAGTTGTTAAATATATTCCAACTATATGCTATCTAAAAGCGAATTGTTTTTACCTAAAGAAACACGAAGGCTAAACATAAAACGAAAGAGATCACTTGCAAATAGGAACCCATGAGAGTAGTGCCAGCCATATAGATATCAGACAAAATAGATTGTACACCAATACCTGTCATATGGAATGAATGATTAAAATACTACAATATTTTCACATGTATATAACAAATATTTATACTAGGTAGTATAAGTACATTAATTATACACATAAAATTGTTTTCAAGTAGAGGAACTGGAAATTTTATATTGCACATACATTATAAGTCTGCTTCCATACTATAAGAGTAATTATTTTCTATTATTACCTGATAAATTTCAAACAGAAAGGCCAGTATAAGGACAAATAGATAATTTTAATTCTTATATGTAAATAAGGCTTAAACCATAAAGATGTATAAATCATTTTGACATTTTCCTCTAAATGTTTGATACATTCTTGCTCTTCCTGAAAGTAATTTGTTCTACATGTTGACAACATGAAACATATCATAATAGAGGACAGATAGCAAAGAGCATGAAATAACCCAGGTACTTTTTGTAGACTTAGTATATTGTAGACAGCGGCATTAAACGAAATTTTCACTCATAGAGGTATATGCTTTAAGTAATAACGTTTATGGAAATTTTAATTCTGCATTTGTATTTTAAGACATTGCTTTCTTTCAGACACCAGTATTTATTCATGAGGTACCCACTGAAAGTGGAAAGAGTATCAAATGTTCAGGTTAAGGCCAGTGTTTTAGGCAATCTACTTCAGCTGGTTTGGGTTTTCCTTGTATCTTTCAATGCAGTCTCTGTCTATTAAGGATTCTTTGGCTTCTTCAAATCAGTAGGCTATAAAATAAAGTATTACGGTTAGTAAAAATGAAATCACGATATAGATTTACAAACCTCCCCTCAAATACACAAACAGTGTAACACAGCTTGCCTAGAATTTAACAGGAAACAATAAATCTCTAAAATCTGATTACTATCAGTAAAATCTAGAAATACACAAAATTGCTAGAATAAAATCTTAAACGATAATGAACAGAATATAAATACATTTGGCCTGTCTTTTAGGAAACATTGGCACTTTGAAATTCTCTAAAAAATTGCAGAGAAAAATTAATTTAGTTATTAACCAATCAACTATTAATCTATAGGGCACTAATGCTTAGGTATTAGGAACATGTTGATTTGGCAGGCAGAGACGGACCTTATTTGGAAGGAATATTAAGAAAATAAATCCGTAATTTACAGAAATAAAGGGAGACATCTAGTCAATCTACGGGAAAGGAACTGGAGGGGGGCAAAGAATTCATCTGTCTACTTTAAGAATGAAGCAAACAGCTCTTAAAGTTAAAATAGTAAAAATACAACAATGAAAAGATCATTCACAAGATTAATACAGCACCTCAGCACCTGGGCAATCTTCTACCATGGTAACATTAGGGCAATTCACTATGTAATTGGCATTAACGTTTTGCATGAGGAAACAGATTTAAAAGTAAAGAGACCCTGCCAAGTGTAACAGAAAGACATGAGATTAATGGGACTGCAATCACACTTGACTACCTCCAGATTCTATAAAATGAGCCATAAACTTTACTCCAGAAATCCACGTGTTCTTTAACATTTATGTTTTACTTATGTAGAACATACAAAAGTATAAATTACTTTTCAGTTTATTAAAGACAAAGACAAGCCAGGTGGAAATTCTAATTACTACAGGGAAAATACATATTAAGTCTAAATTACAATAATCAACAAAATAACAGTGATTTTTTAAAAGATTTGGTATTGTTGTTAAGTAAAATTAAGAAAGAACATGCCAGAGAATTGTTTTATTATCTTTCAGACTGTATATTCAATGACTAAACATAAGAGAATACGTTAGATTTAGAAGAGGATGTGAAAATGAGATCAAAGGCAAATTAACAGGTAATTGTGTATTATTAAATAAGAAGGATTGCAAATAACGGCAACTAACTGTATTCCACTAAGGAGGTAGAGAATAGAAGTACAACAAATTGTGGAGATATGCTATAATATTTAAAATTGTACAGAAAATAATTTGTTTCCTTTCCTTTTTCCTTTCAATGTTAGGGTATTCATTGCCTTCGTTTATAAAAGGGACAAACTAGCAATGTGATTATAGTAAAGAATGGAATGAAAAGACACCGATGCTGAACACTGGAGGAAAACAGTGGCGGGAATTCAATGTGATAACCTACCAAGAGACACACAAAAAAGCTACAGTATTTTGAATACAGAATCACCAAGACCCTGTGAAGAAGGGAAGATGACCCTGAGAAGGAGGTGAGCAGAGCTGTGATGGATCAGACTCCAAGCCTTTCGCCTACATTAGCCCACAAAAGGGAAGAAAAAGAATGGAGGGAAAAGAGGTCAGAGCTCAGGATGCCAGGTAAGTAGGCTCTGCTGATCTGTTCTGAGAAGACAAGACCCCACTGCTCTGACCCTTGAAAATTAACAAGGCTGGAGACCAGAGAGATTTGAAGCACTCTGGGAAGTGAAGACTCCTGTCACCTGTCACCGATGACACATGCTGCAGTAGTACCACTGACACACAACACAGACGCGGCAGTTTGGAAAATCTGCTCACATTCAGAAGTGTCCTGTCGCAAATGAGGTCTGAGGAAGAAAAGGCAGGGTTTTCCTCCCCTCCCTCAGTGCAACTGCCTCGATGCCTGCAGCAGCCAGTTCGGAAATGCTCCATGCTGGCTCAGCCAACGCATTCCACTGAAAACATGCCCACGCAACATACTCAGCTCAGCAGTAGTCAGACGTTGCAGGAAGCCAGGCAAAGGGCAACCCCCACACACAGTGCATCGCAAAAGAAATGCCGGCTGTCCCACAAGGGAGGAGCAGTGGACAACCACCATGGCAAGCAGGCAGGAAAAAGGTGGGCCCTGCCCACAGCCCACCAACAGTAATTGTGGCTCAGCTACAATTGAGAACGGGGCTCTGGTGTGCAGGGAGTTTTGCATTTCTGGGTGCTGAATGACACACACAACATAAAGCCTCTACTGGGAAGGCATGGAGGCATAGTGGATCTATCTAATACAAAGGCGGAAACACAGAGAGCCAGGTAAAATGAGAAGAGTGAGGGATATATACACAACAGAAGAACAAGACCAAAAAGTGTAAAATGAAACAGAGTAACGCAGTCCTCCTGATGAAGGACCTAGAGCCATGGTCACTAAAGGTGTTCACTGACTTAAAGGCGAGAACTCAGTATCTCAGCAAGAACTTCAACAATAGAGAGAGAATATAAAAAGGAGACTCTCAGAGCAGAAGAATACAATAAGCACATGAAAAATAAAATATAGGGAATGAACAGTAGGCTACAGGCAAAGGGATAGAAAGTTTATTTGCAGAAATAACTGGCAAATTATTTCCTTATTTCCCCTACCTGGGGAAGGAAACAGACATTCAGGACCTGGAAGCCCAGAGAGCCCCTAACAAGAAGAACACAAGGAGGTCCACACCAAGACAGAAAGAAATTAAAATGGCAAAGATCAAAGACAAAGACAGAATCTTCAAACCAGCAAGAGAGGGGCAGACAGTTACCTGCAAGGCAAACAGTTATTACCAAAGGCCATCAGCTTTTCCAGTGAAACATTATAGAGCACAAAGGAGTCGCATGAAATATTCACAGTCCTGAAAGGGAAAGATTTAGCCACCAAAAACTCTCTACTCGGCAAGGTTTTCATTCAGGATTGGAGGAGACACTGCAAGCCTTCCTGATGAACAGAGGTTACAGGAATTCACCTCCTGCAAACCAGTCTCACACGATGTGTTTCAGGACTTGTTCAGATGGAAATGTTTTTAGGTTTAAATGGTTTTCATGGGTGAAAGCAAACCTACAGTAAAGGTAGTGCAGCAATCACTTGTAAGCAATTATGGTGTTCAGAAGGGAAGAGTAGTAACATCACCCACTTACAAAATCAGTCAGGGGTACACAAAAGATGTAGATTATGACATCATTCATAAAGTGTGGAGGAGGATGAAGGAAAAGTGCCTAATGGAGACACATGCAGAATAAGGAGAAATGAATCCAAACATAACACTAAAGGCAATCACCAAATCACAAGAAAGGAACTACAAGAACCGTGACACAACTAGCAAAATGCCAATAACCATGTAGTTATCAGTAATTACTTTAAATGCAAAAGGACTAAATGCACCAAATAAAAGATACAGGGTGGCAGAATGGATTAAAAAAGAAAGATCTATTTATATGTTGCAAATAAAAGACTCACTTATATCCCAGACATACACAGACTAAAAGTGAAGGGATATAAAAATATATCCCACTGAAATGGAAGAGAGAAGGCAGGAGTAGCAGTACTTGTATCAGGCAAAACAGACTTTACCACAAAAATATGTCACCAGCAAAGTAGGATATTACATAACGGTGGAAGGAATCAGTGCAACAAGAGCATATAACAATTATAATACCTATCTGCCCAACATAGGAAAATCTGCATATATAAATCATATACTTTACAGGACTACAGGGAGAAACCTCCAGCAACGCAATTAAGTGGGGAACTTTTACCAGTGACTAACACCACTGCATAGATCATCCGTACATAAAATCAGTAAAGGCACAGTGGCACTGAACAACACATCAGACCTGTAGGACTTGACAGTTATATGAGTATCATTCCACCCCAAAGCAGCAGAATGCATATTCTTCTCAAGAGAACATGGAATCGTTTCCAGAATAGATCACACGTATAGATGAAAAACAAGTCTTAACAAAGATATGATTGACATTCTATAGAGCATCATTTCAGAGCACAAAGCTATGAAACAAAAAGTCTACTACATGAAAAACAAATGGTGAATAAAACTCAAACAGATGCAGGATAAATAACATGCTTCTGAACTTTCAATGGATCAGTGGGCAGATCAAAGAGGAAATCAAAGGACACAAAGAAACCAATTAAAACAGAAACACAACAGTTGAAAATACTTCAGATGCCAGCAAAAGTTCTAAAAGCAAATACAGGGCTGCCTCAAGAAACTAGAACATAATAAAGATAGGAACATAAAATAAAAGGTAATGAGTTTAAGAAATTAACAGAAAAGAAAACAAAACAAAAAATGAAACATTGAAATCAAAACCTGGTTCTTTGAAAAGATGAACAGTACAGAAAATACCATCAGCAGACTTATAATGGAAAAAGAGTGGCAGGTCACAAATAAACATGATGAGAAATGGGAAGAGAAGTTACAACAGACAACACTGATATTAAAAAGCACAGAAGCATTCAAGGGCAATTTTATGCCAATAAACTGGATCCCCTACAAGAATGGGATAAATTCTCAGAAACACGCAACCTTACAAGACTGACCTGAAAAGAAACAGAAAACCTAAACAGACTGATTACCAGCAATGAAATTGAATGTGTAATCAAAATGCTCCCAAGAGCTGAAACCCAGACAGCTTCCCAGGTGAACTCTACCAAACACTTCAAACAAGTCATTTATTATTCCTTCCTTCCTTAAGTGTCAGAAAATACAGTAAAGAAAGGAATACTTCCAAACTCATACTACCAGGTCAAAAATAGCCTAATGCCAAAACCAAAGATGCTTGAAACAGGAAAATTACACACCTGTAATTCCTGATGAACACAGAAGGAAAGGTCTCAACAAGATATTAGCAATGTGTACTCAAATATATAATCGGAAGAATTACTGATCACGACCAAGTGGGGTTTATTCTAGGTATGCAAGCATGGCACAATATTTGTTAATCAACCAATATGATACGCCACATTAACAAGAGGATCAAAAACATATGATCATCTCAATAGCTGCCA